CAATAGATCACAAGAAAATCATTATAAGCGCCTATTCTACTAAAAGATCAAAAAGAAAACAACTATTTTGATCAATTAAGTTTAAGCATATAAGCAATTACTCATGCATAAAGTTCATCAGAGCTAAACGCTGCCTAAACACAACTCCTGTGTGTTAACACTAACTTCATTTTAAAACTCACATTTCCTGTGTCATAACCTGTCGTTGACATAGCATCTTTATTTCATTTTGCTCCTTTATAAACTAGAGTTAACTTCTACAGTGGTCCCCTTTTGTTAATGGCCCGAATTATATCAACAAGTTTCTCCTCTTTCAGCCAGATTCAGTTATAAGCTAAATGAATTTCAGGTTTATGGATTCTATGTGTTTGTAAGCATGTGCGCCTCTTTATGCTCCAAGTCTCCCCCAATATATCAACCAAGACGTCGCGCTCGGTGAAGCTTATAACCTTCAATAGACTGAGCCACAACTCTTTAATAAGCACAAAATGCAATGTGTAAAAATCATCTCTACGTATAAGCTCTCTCCTCTATCCTAGAAATAACTCTATGTAATATGTGTAAGCCTACATTATAACCACTCCTTCTAGAAATCAAAAAGAAATCAAACATTTTCTACTCCTACAATCTTCACTAGTTTCCCCAAAGCATATTTTTTATTCCCACAGTTTCCCTTTAAGTTTTGTACACAGCTTCTTAAAAACACCAGCATTTTATCTTCTAAACAGGATTCAGTTCACTTTAATCCTCTAATCTTAACATAAAAATAACAATTTCTGCCTCAGTTTTAGCATATCTAAATTATCAAAGAACCCCAAAATCATAAAATGATCCTAAACCCTATTTCAAATTAAACCTTAAATTCCCCCTTTTTTGACACATATAATGTGTCAAACTAAAAATGCTTCACCCAAGCTTAGGAAATTAAAAAGTTAGTCATCCCAACTTTGGTCCAGTCACACAAATTCACTCACACGCATTCACACCAGGTATTTGCTGATAGTGGAGACTCCCGCGCAAGTAATCTGATTCTCCAATCTCAGCAAAATGAGCTCATTCATTTGTCTTATTTTGTTTTTTAAGAAAATAGTTCCTTATGCTTTTGGACTGGATTGAATCGCTACAATCCTTTTAGACAGGGACTTACGACCCGATTAGGTCCCCACAGGTAGCCTTCTCCTCAGCCAGTTGTAATCTGGAAAGCCCACCTTATATTTGCTCTCCCGAGAATTTGTCAGCGCTGTTATTCACTGCTGCAGGCCTGCTTAGAACAAAAATGAGAGAAAGAGAGCTGATTTTTAGCTCATCAAAACACAAAACAAAAACAAAAAACACCTGACAGGTTTTCTCTAAGTGCACTGTTACAAAAATAATGGGCCCCTCTTAGACATGTCCATGTTTTATAAAACTCCCTCTATTAAAAACAAAAAAACAAAAACAACCCAAACCTAACTGACCGAATCAAAAATCTTAAACACACAAAAGTTTTGCCACCAGAGTCCTGGCACTTCCAGGTCAACTGACATAATTTCACCTCCTCAATACGCCAAAAATCTTGTTAAAACCACGCAATTTGCACACAATAATCTCCCCCTTTATGCACTTTAACATACTTAGATTCAGCATAAAATATAAACCCAATACAACAACGTATCATCACTAAACTGTAAATTTCCTATCCAAAGCTGCACTTCTGAACAGTCTGCTATGCTTCCTTTCCCAAAAATTTGTCACACACACACACACAGGAAGCTTCCTC